CTGAGCTGCAGTGGGGCTGCCAGTTGTGAGTTACAGGGTGAAATGGCTGCTGGCAAGTATGATAAATAACAAAGTAAGCGAGTATTCTCACTGGCTTGGGACATGTAAATTAAAAAAAATAAGATTTAGGGACTTCAGTTTAATAAAAGAGCAGCTCAGAGAGGGAGATCATGCAGGAAAACCAAAAGCCAGGAGACCCTGTCGTCTTTAACGATGCTGCCCGAGATGACACCACTGCCCCCACCTCCCCACCACCCAGGCTGCTCTTACCAGTTTGTTGTAGTCAAAGGCATGGTCCTCGATCTCCTCCTCCAGCCGGTCCGCCGCCTTCCGCACATCTTCCAGGATCTCGTCCAGCATGGACATGCTCTTGTTCTGGTGCTGGATAATCTTCAGGGCCTCTGCCTGGTGCTTCTCTGCTGCTAGGAGCTCCACGTACTCCTGCTCCTCCTGCGCTCGCCAAGAGACAGGGCTCAGGCTCAGGCTGCTAGCGAACCACGCCTCCCACAACACTCTGGCCTCCCAGTTAGGTACACAGGGGTTCACGCCCGACCTGACCTACTGATCAACTCCAGCCTCTCCTCTCTCTGTTGCTCCTGCCCCTGGACTACAGTGTCTGACCTCAGATCCTGGTCAATTTATCCTCTCCTCTCCCTGCTGCTCCTGCTTCTGAACCAGAGTGTCTGATCGACATCGTAATCAACTCATCCTCTCCTCTGCCTGCTGCTCCTGCCCCTGGACTAGAGTGTCTGACCTCAGATCCTGACCAATTTATCTTCTCCTCTCCCTGCTGCTCCTGCCTCTGAACTAGCATCTCTGTTTTAAGACAGCGAGTAAATGGCAAAACATGTATTGCTACAGCACAATGTCCTGCATCGCGTTAAATTGTAAAGCTGTCTCTTCTTCTGAGCTTGTCATCTTATTTTTACAGACATTTCATCTCATGTTATTATTAATTATTTATTTGGCTGATACTTTTACAAAAAAACTAAAGATTTTAATGAGCTATTTTGTTACATTCCAATGTCAGTACCCATTAATAAAACTGAGTCTGTTGGAACAAATGTGGGTAAAAGTACGTTGCTCAAGAGTGTAGAAGCAGGGTCCCCACATGGGATTCTGAGCCCATAACCACGACTTCACGATACCAGGTCACTTAATTCTAAGGCTAAAACTCACTAAAATGTAATGCTATATAATATAATACTATTAAAAACAAAAATCTCATTACTGTATTTACAAGAAGAAATGACAAAAGCAAATTAAACCATTTCTCCAAATGCGGACATAGTAATCAGAAAGATTTTTGCACAATAATAAGACATTTATGTACAGTTTAAATGTTTAAGCTGAAAGCAAAACCCAGCACAACATTACAATGAAATCCCTGAGATCTCTCGGGCTGCTCAGCACTTCACTGAGCAGCCCGAGAGAAGTGGTGGTGGAGGGGAGTCCCCATTACCTGTAAAGCGCTTTGAGTGGAGTGTCCAGAAAAGCGCTATATAAGTGTAAGCAATTATTATAATTATTATTATTCACAAGAAGCCCCCTAGCGACAGTCCTCATGATCTCGCAAAGTGAAGCACAGTGCCATCTGCTGGACAGAACCAGGACTGCACTCTTCCAATGCCAGCTACCTCCCAGGGGGAGCAGCACAGAGAACTCGTGAGACTTGTTCCATCACATGGGAGAAGGGGACATGTATACAAGCACCTTATTGGTCTTCGATTTACTTGCTGGTGGCAGCCCATTGTACACTTTGCTGACCAATCTTTCTTCATTAACCAAGGGCCGCTGGACGCCTTCTGACCGTGACAGTTGCTATTTCACGACATTGATATCCACCAGCACTACAATGCCTGCGCCAACGACAAGCTAAGGGGAGCGGAAACTGAGAGGAACCTGAGAATCGCTAACCCAGGGGCGACCGTCCTGTATTAATTAGCCCCAATTGCCATTTCGATTTAGGAGCTCGGAAACGATTGCAGTACAGTGGCAAATCCCACTCGGGATAAGATGCTGCCTCTCTCTCAGCCCCTCCCCTGACCCTGACCTTGATGGCTGCCTCTCTCAGGGCCTCCAGCCTCTGCCGGCTGCTCTCCTTCATGTTGACCACGTCCTTGTAGTCTCCCTGCAGCGCCCGCTGGAAGCCGTGCACGGCCTGGAAGATGGAGTTCTCGCTCTCGTTCAGCTCCTTCTGGAAGATCTCGAAGGTGTGCACCTGGAAGAGCTTCTCGGCGCCAGACAGCCCCCGGTCCCGCTCCACGGCCGCGATGGCCGCCCCCAGCTTCTCCATGACGGTGCTCTTCTGCCTCATCAGCCCCGAGAGCCGCCGGCAGTTCTCCAGCACCCACCGGCGGCCCTGCGTCACGGGTGCCCCCCGGCCGCGGTGCAGCTTGATGGCCTGCTTGGCCACCTCGCCGTGCTCCCGGCTGGCCCCGGGCAGCCCCCCGGCCAGGTGGAGCCAGAGCAAGACCACACACAGGCCCTTCATCGTCTTCCTCCCCGGCTGGCCCCCGGGCTCACAGTCCCGGAAGCCGTGAGGCTCTGGGCGGGTGCTGACTGGACACACAACTACATCGTCCCTCCTTTATCCTGCCGGGCGGGACGACGACGACGACCGAAACCGTTTCGAACGCGTCCTCTCACTGGCTGCGGAGGAAGCAGAGTCAAGCGTGATCCGTAGCTCTAAACGATTCTTGTATGGAAATCAAGGTCCGCGGGCACGACGGCATCCAGGCACAGACCTACGAGCGCAGCAGCCTGCAGTTTGCAGACTAAAGATCACCTGGCCAGAGCTCCCAAAGGAAAGGAGTGTCTCCTGTGAAAGCAAACAGCTGACGCACCCGACAACAACACCTTGAGAAAGGAGAGTCAAGCCCACGACTGCAGCTACAGTATATAACACCTGTTCGCTTTAGCCTCCAGCAGAAACATGCGTGCCAGCAGGATATGCTGCGCCTACAGGAAACAAAGCCAGAAGATGAAACAAATATTAGGGACCAAGAATTCTCCTTTTTAAATGTTGAGATCTTTTAAAGTGTTTTACGTTCTCTATGACCTGTCATTTTTATCTCTTTATAACTGGATGCTCTTACCTTCCTGTGGGACCCTAAAGAACAATTTCAGAAAATGGGGCGATTTGATGTTCTCACCAAATGAAGTGGAAGAGAAATTTGGTTTTGTTTTTTTGTTTTTTAATTGAGAAGGTGAAGTTGGCTTCCGCTTACAAGCGCGCCTACAGTGTAGAAAGCTTGCAGGGTCCAAAACTAAAAGGGTCTTGTCACTTGGAGGACAAGCCGTGCAGGTTCATTAGAAAAGATGAAATGACATTCAATTACCTCCTTAAAATCCAGAAAATATCTTTCTTAAAAAATCACAAGGTTTTATTCCTTGTATTGATTTTTTAAACAATGTATTTGAAAGAAAGGCATCCAAAAATGTGATAATCTTCTGGTTTCTGGTCAAGACGAAGCACCTCAATCTAGATTCTGCAGCCTCAGACTTCTGCAAACTTGCCACACATATGTGAATAAAGTCTCACATCTGTACATGTGTGTAAATTAGTGTGTCTGGGATATAAAGGGTGTGCACAGTGTGAGCTGGTGTGAGGTTGTTTGTAGAGCAAGGCTTGGGTGTGTACTGAAGAGCTGGCTGAATATACTCTGACTGCCCTGCAGTCTTTGCCTCACTGTGAGCTGTAGCATGCTCAGGCCTCATGAGACACTCGATTTAGAGGGAGAGCTGTCCCAGATGCCTGTAACAATACATCAAGTGTTAGATTTTGAAAATGAGTTCCCTGCGCAAGTTAGCCTATTTTCCCTTGAAAAGGGGAATCTTCAGTGGTCTTTCAGTCTACGGTTTTCTATGTTGCGTGTTTTTATACCCGCAAAACGTTCTAGAGGCGCAACAGCTATGACCAGGAATGCACGCAGAATGGAATAAATTAAAGAAATTAATCGCGTGTTTCCCGGCCCTTAGTCAGACCGTCTAATTCTTGGATGGCGAACTTGGCAAACGACAGAGTTGTTTCTACGTGGAAGCTCAGTTAAAAAACGGAGAACAGTAAGCAAGTCTTTACCCAACGTTTTTTTTTTTGTGTGTGTGATACAAGCCACCTAGCCTTGCAGTTGAACCTGATACCCTGGCTTCTTTCAAAAAGCGGACTGGAACTAAATTAGCTACCAACAGAGCTAAATTGGGGCGAATTGTCCCCGCTCGTTTTTACTGTTCTTTTACTCTGGTATAGAAGTGTAACAAAGGTTTTCTCCGATTGCGATTTCGTTGTGGGGGTTTTGTTTTGCGACTCTACGTTTAATTTCTAATTGTTTTTAAGATATGTTTCAGCTTCTGGACCAGCCAAACGAAAAGTCTTACGCAACTCTTTTGTTGATTTTCCGAATGCAACTTTTTTTCGGTCACATTTCCGTCAATACACGAACAGTTTGGAAGTCCTGCCTTTTTACCCACCCGCCGTACCTCGTTTTCTGTCCTCGTACAGTAGCTGCGCTTCAGCTCAATGACGCTCTGTGATTGCTTGTAAAAAACAGAGACTCGCACACCCCCATCACTGAAAACCTGTAGTGTGGACAGTGTAAAAGAAAGTAGCCATGACCTCAGAAAACGACCCAGTACACTGCAATACACTCGTTAAGTGTAACAGCCACCGGCACACGTGCGGTATACTTCCCTGTTAAAGATACGTGGAGAACAGTCTCCTTTTCCACCTCGTCCTACATCTTTACATTTAAAATCAGGTTTTCTCAGCGCTTTCGTGTCGAGGGACAACTAAATAATCATTCCCCCGCCCCCCCCGATTTCAACCAAACGGCGAATCAAAGTACATTATTATTATTGACAAGGAATAATTGTATATTTGAATTAACTATATCTGAATCAGAAAAAAAAAAGCAACAGACGCAGACAGGTCAACAGACTATGCCTTTTCAGACAGACGGGATCAAAACGGAAACCTTCGTCCGATATAAAACTGATCTTGATAACCCGCAATGCTGGGGTGACAGCTCGCGTTTTTGGTTCTGGGGACCTCGCAAGCAGTTTGTTTGTTTATGTCCTGGTTTCCTTCTCCAGAAATAAAAAAAAAAAACGTCTTAACTTGCGAGCCTTGTGGCTGGAAGACGATTAAAGAAAGGGGTATACTTTTCAGTATCAAAGCCAGGTAAATCGAGAATAAGAAAGTAGTTCGTATTCTAAAAAAAAGAAGCAATTTGGACACTCCAGCACTGCCGATACCAGTCCCCCCTTTGAGGAAATACAAAATCACGCCTGAAATCTATTGATAAGAACAGATTTTTTTTTAAAAAAAGGGATCTTTCGCAATTAGCTATAAAAATTCAGCCTAAGCTCTAAAATGTAATTGTCTACGGATTCAATTATTGCAATGAAGTAACGTCAAGCTCCTGCCTAAATAAAGCTTGAGCCACCCCAACAGTCCCGCGAATGAGATACTCCCGATAGTTTATGAAAGCAAACTCACCATCGTCAGCCAGCGCTACAGAGCTCAGCTGTTTGACATGACAGCACACAACTTTCACCTACGGCCGGCAGGACCCAGCCTATAGGTCTCCGGGCATCGCCACAACCCATTTAGATACAATTTCGCACTAAAATAGGTTAAAAAAATACCCCAAAGGCATCAATAATAATAGTAAAATAATATAACAACAAACAACAACAACAATGATAAAATAATAATAATAGCCTATATTATAATGATGTGCGATTTTTTATTTGAGGATATTTGAACTTTGAGCAGCGGTGTGAAAACCACACGTTCGTTAAATTAAAAACTAAAAATTTAACCCCCTTTTTTCCCCCGGTTTCTTTTTTTTTCCGTCTTGCGTCCCCAATCAAAATAAACAGGGTCCATCCTTGGATACGGTCTGCTGGGATATGTAGTCTTTTATCATCGATACCGCACACGAGCTTTAATCCACCTAGAATTTTGAATGAACTCTCGAGGCAAAAGGAAAATGTAGACGTGTATATTTTCGTTTTCCACCTACAAACCTTGTATTTATAAGTTACGTATTGTATGATTTGAATTCGGTAATTTCGGAGACATTGATGTAGGGTATGTCCATTCCATGTCTATGTTCGGAATTTTATCTGCCGGAAGAAGCAAAAGACTACAATTCCCTACTTCTCACTCCTTGACTGCGCATGCCCACTAGCACTGCGGCGCAGTCCCCGGAGGCTGGTGCGCAAGCGCACGGCGAGCCACTGGCAATCAAGTTGGTCAAACAGCTGGTGATAAAATGGTAGGTAAGATCAAAATAATAAACCCAAACAAACGAATGAGCCACGGCAGCAGGGCGAAGCGCTGGAAAGCGGGACGGGCTCTGCGCTAGGCAGTCAGGGAGTGTTGTGGCCGCGGTGTCTCTGGCCAGTGTCGCATTGTCAGGTGTGTTTTGCGGGAGCAGTTTGTGAAAAGGAAGGTCAGAGAGAGTTGATGGTATTTTGAGAGCTGACACCAGCAGTTGCATGGCACGTACCTTTCCCTTTTTGGTCTACAAGCAAGTTGGGGTAGGGGAGCTGGCCGGCTGCAGAGAGTCGGGAACTGGGTCGCTGGTAGCCTGAGCCCGGGTAGTTAAGTAGGACGAGTTGAGATTGTCGCTTTCCACCCATGCGACCACGAAACTACAGCCCCGGAGCAGCGCCGATGTTCATCCGCAGCTCTTTTATTTGTGTTTTCACTCCCGACACATTGCAGTGCATGCCTAATTCAATCCTGCAGCTGCGTGCTTCTATGCCGTTATTAACGTGTGCCTCGCCGGCAAGCTAATAGTGTTAGTTTCTCAGACAGTAATCGCCACCCTGACCCTGTTAGGATTGTTCTGATTGTTGTTGAAACTTCCCTAACCTGAGCATTTGGTAACAGAGGTTTGCCATCAGTTATACCGTTCGCACCGTGAGTATTGCATGCCTGAGGTCCGGTAGCAAGTAGAAATTGACTTCATAGTGAGTTCACGAACGAAATTAACTAGGATCCGACTAGTTGTGTAATTTCTGTAACCAATTGGTCAGTGGAATAGGAACGTATGGTTTTCGTGTTTGACAAATACTAAGTCCTGAAGCGGAGGTCTTGTATGGAGAAGGGAAATATTTGCGAGTAGACGGCTAAAAACTTTGGAGGCGTCTGCTGTTGTCTTTTTGAAATATGGAGCGTATGTGTAGTGCTACATTAAATACCAGTGATCGGCATCTTTGCATCTTCCAGCACCTTTCCGATGCAGGATGGATATTTTCTCATAGAAGCAACATTCCCTTGTGTTGTCTCGTCCCGCATGCCCGGCGCTCTCCTGTAGTATCGATATATTTGTATCAAGTCTCGCTTACTGCCTTGAATGCGCTGTCCCGGAGATCTGTGTCCGTTTTTCAGTAGTGAGACGCTCGACACCTGTCAAAATGCAGCGATGAGGTCACGCACTTAGCTTTTGCCTTTTTTTTTGTTGTTTTACCGAGAGAGTTATGCTTTAGTTCTTTGAACGTAAGCACTTTCCACTGAATCTTTTGATTCCTACGTTACTGGCCTTATGTCTGTTCTGTAACGCCTGTGCCTGGGGGCTACCAGTCCCTCAACCACAGAGCAATGATGTAGTGGCAAGAGAAAGACCGAAGACGGTGCAGGACATCATAAGTCGAATCACACCAGCCCTGTTGTACATTTAGATGAAGGAGAGCTAGCTGAATTGATCTATACCTAAAGGGTACTGGGACCAGTATTTGCGGAGTGCAGGGTACTTTCCAATCCGCAGAGTGGAAATTCTGCTGCCATTGCGCGTGTTTGAACTTGAGTCTGGATCTAGTCTGAAAGCTATGGGGTGGCATGGGTACCCAGTGGTTGCCATTGCTGCCTTGCAGCGCCGCGGTCCAGGGTTCAATCCCGAGTGGGTTTTGGAGTTTGCGTGTTTTCTCTCAGTGTGCTTTGAACTTCCTCCAGGTGCATCGGTTTCCTCCCACGGTCTAAAAACATGCTGGTAGGTTAATTGTCTTCTGTAAAAACTGGCCCTTGTAAGAGCAGGCGTCTGGTCCAGACTGTCTCCCACCTTGTACCCAGTGACTCCCAGTGTAGGCTGCAGGCCACCATGACCCTGAATTGGAGAAGTGTTTATTGAAAGGGACGTGAAAATGAATCCATTTTACACGTTTTAAGTATACACTTTCCACCACAAAATGTTTTAAACTTTATTCTGCTTCTTTTGCAATTCAGGAAGTGTGTTGACTTAAGCCTTTTCCAGAACATTTTGTGGCTCTGTCTACCAAAGATTGTTGACAGAAAAAAGGGAGGATGTGTTGTCTTTTTTTTTTACCCTTTTGAACAGTGCGCATGCCTTTGAAATAAGCAAAACCCAAAAGTAGCACAAGATAGCTACTTGTAATCAATTTATTGGGACTTAATGGGAATTGCTTGAACACTGGAAGGCTTTCTTTTGTCCACACTGATGATAGAAGTCAATTTTGGTTTTGACACCTCCCTAAGGAAGAATATTTTTCCCCCCCCAAGCAAAGCTTACTTAGTATTGTTAGCACAGTTTGGAATGTTTTTAAAATAAACACAATATGATATTTCTTGGATAAGCTAGGAGCTTTAATCCTCTTGCTTCCTAGTCAACTGAATTCACCCGACATTCGTTTTCTTATGTACACATATTGACTGCAAATTTAAAAAAAACGAAAATAAATTTAAAAAAATCAGTAACGGAGCCACACCGGTATTATATGTGTATAGAACTGTTTAATTCGCAAAAAAAAGAGAAAATTGTCATGTTGTGGAAGTTTGTGTGTTTTCTTCTATTTGTATGAGAGAGAGGTTAGAGAAAAAAGTTTTGGTTTACACTGCATTACAAGGAAATTTCCTAGAGGGCATTTTCTGACCTCTTCATCCAGCACAGGGTCACAGGGGAGCCCGAGTTCCTCCAGCCACTGCAGTCCTGAGGCCGAGGGGCTTGAAATCTCCTCTAGTAAAACCTGCAAATACGGGAGTTAGCTCTAGTAAAAGGGGATGGCTCCAGTTCATTTCTAGTGTGCAAACAATTTTGAAGAGAATGTTGTTTTTTAAATTTCAGTTGACTGGCAAAAAAACAAACAAACAATTGGATTGCACTGTGCAATAATAGGTTTTAGATTTTTTTAAATAACCGCGTTGACTGTAAATGTAGGCCTATTTCGTGTGCTATACACACGTATGAGAAACAAGCAGCTTGTCCTTGGTTCTTCAATTCAGCGTAAGAGGTGAGGAGGACGCAGGCGTCCGTGATAACGCCACTCCGTGTGGTCCAATTCACTTTCTCTGAATCTGAACACACACTCTAATGCTTTCTGAATATTGTTTTTTTTTTTTTACTCGTTGTGCTAACAAATGGCTTTTTGTTTCACATTTGTAAACGTCTCCTAATTAAAGTCAGAATTGCATATTTATAACATGAACTCTCATGGAAAAATCAAAGGACACATGAAACGCTCCGTTCTTCCAAATGTTAAAAAAATATATGCTGTTACCACTATGTACACAATAAAAAAATGGTATGCCTTTTGGTCTTTAATTAAAAAAAGGTAGTCATTATGCCAATTGATAATTAGGTTAGCAAATTAAGAGCCAGCAACTCTTGTGATGCAATTTGCATTGACACAAAGTCCCTTTTTTGGCATAAAATCTTAGCAGTAAAATCTTTCACAGTCGGCTAGGGTTCTCGGGCACAGAATGAGCAGCAAGTGTATAACATAAAAACAGGTGGTTGCAACATCAGAATGCATTTTATTTACTGTCATTTGTGAAGAATTGTTTTATTCTGTGTGCGTGTTGCAATTCATCCCGAAATAATGACGGAGAACTTTTGTGATAATGTAAAATAATCTGGAACATGAGTTCTGAGTGTTTGTAAAGCATTCAGATGTTATTCCTGAAATCTCTGGATGTCCTAAAAAAGATCAGCACGCTTATAGCTCTTTAGAGTGGCAAGCTCAGAATACCACTGAGAGCACGTCTGAGTGTCACAGGCTGAAATATTTCATCAACATACCTTATGAGCAATTAATGCAAAAGTCACATACTCTGTTTTAATTAGTGTTGTAGCAAATACATGAATCCCTCAAATGCTTGAAGTGTTAAAACACCATACCCTAATATATAATAATAAAAACACCATACCCTAATAGAATAATAATAATAAAAAAAACACCATACCCTAATAAATGTAATAACATTTTGGCATTCTCAAAATTCAAATGCGCATTCTACATCACAAAATCAAGACTGGAAATAAAAATGTTATAAAGAATAGCTCTTTCATAAGAACCTTTAATTACATGCTTGCCAATTCAGTGTACAAGAAAGTGGTTGGGTACCCTAGCAGACAAGCTCAGTGTGGACATGTTTGTATGATGTTTGCCAGTCATATGTAGGTGGGGTGGCGAGGAGGTTACTCAGTCTTACTGAGCCTTATTTTTTGTTTTAAAACTGAAAGGTTTCTTTTATCTGTTTTTCCGTCTTAAAAATATACAGGATATTTAGCACATACACCATGTTGGCAGTTCACATCTTGCTGTAAGGGAAATATGAAATTCAGTGTACTGTACTCTGTAATGTAAGACATTTCGGCAATAAACTGTTACCTTATGGTGTTACACCTTCTTGACATTTAATGTAATTAAAAGAAAATCACAATTCTGGTGTGATAATTATTTTCGTGTTTATAGATTAAGTACCCTCATTTACTTAGGTGTTTCGTTTTTTCTCCTTCAGGTGTGAGGCTACTTGTGCCGGTCAGTGCTCCACAAAAAGACCGAAACTTGTTTTGAATACTTGAAAGCAGCTCATACAGTAGTTTACAAAATACATTTTTTTTTTAAGTATGACAAAGTATTTAAGTATGATAAAAACTGAAAAGACTAAAATGTTTTGGAGTATATGTCTGTGTATACTTGTTTTAAAGAAAATAAATCTTATTTTGAAGTTAAGAAGAATAAGATTATTTGGATTTTAATGAAGGTCTACTTTTGAATTACACTATTAGTAAAGAGAAGAGGGTTTTAAGCATAAAGTATACATTTTCTTTTAGTAAATTAAAATTGATTATCAACATTAATATACTATTTGAAAGTTGCAGCACGACTTTTGATCTGCAAGTCGCAAATATTTTGTCTTTTTAATCAGATTGAAGGTACTGTATGAGTGGGAAGGCGCCTGTTTTAACAGTGACTTGTAAAATGTAGGAGCTGGCAGGGGCAGGAGGCTCGAATAAGAGAGAATTACCGCATGAAAGGAAGGCCTTTGCAAACTGTAAATGGACAGTTTTACACGGAGAACACAATCAAACGTTTGTTTGACCGGGCTCTGCGTGTGTTTGTGTTTCTCAGCATAAGCTCAAGTCATCGCAGAAGGACAAGGTTCGCCAGTTTATGGCCTTCACTCAGTCTGGGGAGAAGACAGCTGTGTACTGCCTGACCCAGAATGACTGGAAACTAGAAGTGGCGACAGACAACTACTTCCAGAATCCAGACCTGTACTACAAAGAATCCATGAAGAACTCAGTAGACCGGAAGAAAATAGAACAGCTTTATAACCGGTATAAAGGCAAGTATTGTTTTCCCCTCTGATTCCAAGAGCGTGTGGTAAGTCTCTTAGCTTTTCAGAACCTGTGTTTTGGTCAGGCATTGATTAAATGTTTTTTTTGCTCTTTTTTTCAATTGGTTTCATTTAAAATTAGTTCATCGGGGATGTGTTAAATGATTTGCTTTGTTTTGAATTGATTTCATTTTGGAACTTCACTACAAAAACTTTAAATGTGCTTGAGTGCCTGAGATGCACTCTTTCAGCTGACCCTGAGTGTATCATTCATTGTTAAAATTAATTATATGGAAAGTAAGGGTTTTGCTCAATCCTGACGTTCATTGATCGGTTCTGGGAATACGGATGGCAGGGTCTGGACCATGTAATAAACCTGTGCTTTGTATATACGTTGGCTTCTCAGGCTTAGAACCAGGTGTTCATTGTCTTGCTCTTGATTCATCTTCGTTTGTGGATGTGCTTTTGTAACTCACCTTGTTGCCACCTCTTAAAGAGAGACCTGAGAAGTCTCACTTTATTCCACAGCTCACTACGCAGTGCAGTGAAGTGTCATGTGTGTTTCCCCAGATCCTCAGGATGAAAATAAGATTGGTATCGACGGGATCCAGCAGTTCTGTGACGATCTGAACCTGGACCCAGCCAGCATCAGTGTGCTGGTCGTAGCGTGGAAATTCAGAGCTGCCACCCAGTGCGAGTTCAGTAAGAAGGAGTTTGTGGAAGGCATGTCAGAGCTAGGGTAAGCAATTGCTGTCAGATCTGCCTGCTGTGTAATTTTAGCAGTTGAGGGCTCAATAACAATAGAATAGAGCCATCGCTGGCATTATTTCTACATTATTTTCAGAAAAGGGAAAGAGAATGAATGCCACTGTAACAAACATATAATTTTAGTTCACAGAACTTCTGTGCCATACATTTAAAAAAAGAAGTGTTTAATTGTGCATTATAAAGAAGTTGCATTGGGTGTTTTTGAGAAAGAAATTGGAAAGGAAAATGGCGTATACCCTGCTTTGCAGCTGATTAATACAAGGCCAATATTTCATTTTTCCTTCTTTTCCACATATTATATCACTTGTTTTTTTCCCAAAATCTATTTTTTTAAGTGACAACATCCAAATAAGTAAGCAAAAACCAATGTTATAAACTCTATTATGCAAAACAAAAATTTCAACCCTAAACATTAATGTTATTATTCCTCAGCTACAAAAACCTAAATGAGGGACTGGTTTATGAAGTATTTTACACTAATCTTTTATTTTGTAAAGGGAAAATCACATCCTTCATATTCCTTAAACAGGTATTTCAGCTCTCTATGCGCTCTAAAATTAATATTTTGTGATACATTTGACACTTCACATCTACTAATTTGATAGGCAAAAATGCATAAATTATACAATTGTTTGCAAATGAGAGAAAGAGAATAGTACTTCCTTAATATGGTCAGACAGGTTCGTAAACTACTGTCATGCGGAGGTCTTAATATTTAAACAACAGCAAGAGAGACTTATATTATACCTGTGTATTCTGACCTTTTCGTGGTTAAAAGGAGAAAAGGTTCAGCTGAATCAGACCAAGGCTGTTGACTATCGCTGCAGATTTGGGTGCTCGCCGTGCTCTTTCAGATATATAGAATGTCAGTATAGTTATGCTTTTGTTTTGTTGGTTTGACCAGTTACAGTATATACTTGCTTTTTCTTTGTCTTGTTTTTTTCTCTCACAGCTGCGACAGCCCAGATAAACTTAAAGCACTCCTCCCAAGATTAGAGCAAGAATTAAAAGACCCAGGAAAGTTCAAAGACTTCTATCAGTTCACATTTAATTTTGCTAAAAACCCCGGACAGAAGGGCTTAGGTAAGCGTCTTTTTTTAATCCTTCTCTCTTTCTGTTTTTCAGTAGACACTTTCCAGTATTTTTAAACATCTGGAAGGAAAGTGAAGTTAAAAAATGTAAGAAATGGTTTTGAGTAAACCTGAGCCCCTTCATTTCAGAAAGGATCATGCTGCGTAATGCAGCCTTTCTATAGACAATTTGAAGTTTAAAGTTGGGTGAATTTCCCAACCATTGAAGGCTCCTGCAATGTGGGAACAGCAGCAACCTTCAGGGGAGACTGTCCTGATGGGTCATTGATGGTCGGTTGATCTGCTGACCTCAAGAAACAAATCTGTAAATAACCCATCCCTCTCTCCTGTCCCCAAGCATCAGGACGGATGATTGAGGCAAGCTGCTTTTCTGTAGCAGAAATGTTGGATACGATAACGTTACCTTTACAGAATCACGACTTCCTGATGGCCGTTATGTTTTAAGAACAGCTTTTCTGATTTAAGCTACCCGTGCCTGTGCGGCTTTGATATCCTGAAGATGGAACTGCGCCTGTGTACCTCCGTGTCCGACTCCTGCCTCGGGCAGCCTGTGTGACAGCGAATCATCGTCTTTCTGACGGTCGCTGCCTAACTTGTGAACCGCAGTGTGCTTCAGCAAGCCTGGCTCCGTCCCCTAATTATTTGGGGATTTTCCTGGGGCTTGGCTCATGACAGGCAAATCGGCCGAGGGGCTGCAGCTCCCCATCACAGTGCAGAGTGCAGTGAAGTGGGATTTTAAGGGCTCCCGGTGGCTCCGAAGGCAGAGGCTTATTTGCGGAGCCAGGCCGAGCCCCAGCTGGGCCCCCTGTGA